ATTTATATACAGGGTGGCCCACCACTCACTGACAACTTAAATAACTTTTGATCCAGTTAATATTTTTAGCTGATTTTTTTTTTAAATATTAGTTAGACGTTAGGTCTATAGCTATATCTCAATAATTAATTTTTTTACATTTTATTAAAAATATTAATTATTTTTAAATTTTAAATAAAATGTAAAAAAAAATCTAAGATAGCTATTTTGTAGAGTAGAATTTAAGAAAAATTAACCCAACCCTGTATATATATTAGTTCGGCTTCAGCTATTGTAGCGATAAGTCGTGTTATTGTTACGCACCTGTGAATCCGGTTTTCCTTATACATATAGTTCTATCGTATTTAGTTGTATTTCTCTAACTCGCATAAGTAGTCTCGCATAATTTTTTGTTTTTAAGTTTCCGTATGCCCAATTCACCGGGTGGACCGGGCCGTCCACCTAATAACGGTTCTGGCCCCATAAAAGTAACTTTGCACAAAAATCGAAAAGACTCCGACGAATGGTCAACTGCCAGTGCGAAACGTAAGTCTAAAAAACTTCCTACCAGCCCGGTTTCTCCGAATCTACAATACCTATTAGATAATCAACCGCAACTACTCCCAGCTAACATACAATTTCAGTATAATATTAACGATTCGGCCGATAACAATGAAACTAGTACGGCATATCTTAATGATGCCATTACGCTAACGTCAGATAGAAATTCTAATACTATGGATATCGATAATGTTATGAATAACAATAGCGACCTTGATATATACAACACAAATACGCCAAATAAGGTAAACATTGATTCTGAAACAGTACATTTGTCTACCGTTAAAAAAATTACTAGTAATTCGAATGGGGATTCTAATCTGAAATCTTTTTCAAAAAATTTTAACGGGACTCCGGTAATTCTCGTTGAATCCACGGTTAGCGACCAAAGTATCGGCAAATTACACCCGCTAAAAATTGGGAAACTTTTCCACAACAAATTCGGCGGTATAAAACAAATAACTCCCATTGGATCCAGAGTTAAAGTTTTATTTGATTCTATCAAATCTGCCAATGCTTGCCTTAATTCTAACCTTCTCCCTGGTATGAACGTAAAAGCTTCAATCCCGTCTACTCTAATTTACTCTCACGGTATCATCCGCCTGGATACCTCAACAACAGAGGAGGAATTTTGGGAAGGTATCGAATCGCCGGTTCCTATTAGTGGTTTTCGTCGCATATTTACAAAACGTAATTCTAATACCCCAACCCAAACTAATTTAGTAGAACTCAAGTTCCTTTCTTCAAAACTACCAGAAAAAATATCAATATTTAAAGTCATATTCACGGTTTCTCCTAGCATCCGTTCGCCTGTTATCTGTAATAAGTGTCTTCGCTACGGACACACAGCCAAATTTTGCAGAAGTAAGGCACGGTGTGCCTGTTGTGGTGCTAACGATCATATTGCCACCGATTGCCCTATTAAAGACAACTCTACCCCATCATGCTTACATTGCAAAGGATCCCATGAGGCTACAGATCGCTCATGTCCTGAATGGTCCCGTCAAAAGGAGATTAAAAAAATNATTGTTCCCTTCAAAAGGAGATTAAAAAAATCATGGCTGTTGAAAACATTTCGTACAACGATGCCATTTTTATATTTAAGAATAACATTGTTAATAAATCTAAAACTTTTTCGAATAGTGTTTCAAACAATGCAAATATTATAAATAACGCCAGTGCTCCTCAAAACCCTATATCTATAGAATCTTTTCCGAGCTTGACACAATCATTCTCCAAAAAAAGTAGAAATACGTATCATGGTAATAAAAACGGTGACCAAACTATCAACCCGCATTTTGTCTCTAATAAAAGTAATGATTGGTCTTCTCCCAACGGTTCGTTTCTTGAATACATGTCCACTAACTCCTATGCCCAACCTGCTGAGAAATCCTGGATCACTTCTTTGGCTAATCAACTCTCTTCAGCTGTATACAATATTCCTTCCTCTACATTATCATCCCCCTCAACCCTAAATCAATTAATTGAGTCTCACATCCTTAACTTTCTCTCTTTATCATCTAATAACAGTTTGCAGTAACTTCCTCATCTCACCACATTTTATCATCATTATTGTTTTTTTTTTTTTTACTTATTTATTTATTTATTATTTTTTTTTCTCTCTTATTCATTGTCCTTATGACTTTTTATGTATATACTTTTGTCTATGTGCGTATTTATGCAATATATACACGCATGTATGTTTATGTACGTACAATTGTCTCTTGTTTCACTTGTATATTTTTATTTACTTATTTATATCCTATTTATATATATATTATTTTACATGAACATAAGGTTTTTATGTATCTGTCATTTATTTACTTATTCCCTTTTTACTTTTACTACAATAACTAAATGTTAAATATTTTGCAATGGAATATTAGAAGTATCTTATCTAGAACACAAGACCTTGCATTTCTTATCCACTAAAATAAATGCCAAATTGTTCTACTCTCAGAAACTTGGTTACTTCCAAATAAAAATATTCACCTTTCAAATTTTAACTCAGTCCGCTCTGACCGACAAGATGGTTACGGCGGTGTCGCCATCTTGATCCATTCCTCAATTCAATTTCGTCCCATTACACTTAATAACAATCTAAAACAAATGCTCAGTACCTTTTCGATCGACCTAGTTGGTATCAATGTATTAATGCCGGACAATAACACCTTTCAACTTTGGTCTATTTACATTCCTCCTTCATCTAATCCCTCTACTCTAATAGTTTCTGAAATTTTTAAACTACTCTCCAATAACTCCATTATTGCAGGGGATTTTAATGGTCATCATTCTGCCTGGGGTTCACTAAACTCCAATTATAGAGGCAATATTATTCACTCAACCATCATTCAGCATAATTTATGTATTCTGAACACAGGTGCTCCAACTAGAGCTAACCGGCCACCGTTCCCGGATACTGCTGTTGACCTAACAATATGCTCCCCTAATATTTCCTTGTCCTCTTCTTGGTACGTTTTGGGTGATCCTCACGGTAGCGACCACTATCCTATTGTAACAAGTCTTTATATACAGCCCACTCAGAGTATGGGTCGCCTTAACTGTGACTCTTCCTCCAATGTTTCAGATAACTTAAAGTTTAATTTAGACTTAGCAGATTGGACTTCTTTCTCTCTAATTGTCTCTACCTTACTCGAATCTTGGTCTGAATCCACCTCCCCTACAACAAATTACAACAATTTTGTTAATATCCTAATAAAAGCAGCAAAAGTTTCAATCCCGCGTAAGCGTTCGAACAATATAGGTTTTAGCCATTCTCCTCCTTGGTGGAACTCAACCTGCACCACTGCAGTTAAAATGCGCTCCTTCCATTTCAAAAAATACAGATCCTCAGGTTCTCTTCATGACTATATAACATACCAAAAATCAAAATCCAACACAACCAAAATTCTAAAAAAGGAAAAAAAAAACTCTTGGTTAAATTTATGCAGCAATCTACACCCTTCAACGTCTATCTCTGAATTTTGGACCATCGCTAAAAAATTCAAAAACTGTATAAATCGTCCTTCTTCCACCACCAACAATGACTGGTTTGACGACTTTTGTAATAAAATTGCACCTCCTTACGTTCCTGCCCCTGACGAACTTGAATTGCATTTTTCAGACAATTTAGCAAATAATAGTAATAATAGCTTCCTTTCCTCTCCTTTCAGTCGTTACGAACTGTCCTTTGCTATCTCTTCAAGGAAATCTGCTGCTGCTGGCTTGGATAATATTTCTCCTTTTTTTTTTAAACATCTTCCAATAAAAGCCTTTGATATTCTTTTAACTATCTTAAACAATTTATGGATTAACAATATCATTCCCGAGTCTTGGAAGCATTTCAAAGTAATTCCTATCCCTAAAAGTGGTGCTGCTACTAACGCATACCGTCCAATTGCCCTTTCATCTGCCTTCTGCAAATTAACAGAGTTTATGTTAAAAACTCGCCTGGATTGGTATCTTGAATCCAAATCTCTACTATCTCCTAATATGTTTGGTTTTCGACGTGGACTGGGCACAATGGAATGTCTTTCCTCTCTTATTGGTCCCGTGTACCATTCGTTTTGTAACCGTCAATTTACAACAGCCGTTTTTGTTGACGTTCGTGGTGCATTTGATTCTGTTAATATTCCTCTTCTTGTAACACGTCTACTCTCCATCAACATTCCTATATCAGTGTGCAAATTTATCTTTTCTTTATTTAAATGCCGCCTCCTTCACTTTAAATCGCCGTTTGGTCCCTATTACCAACGTGTTACTTATAGAGGTCTTCCTCAAGGTAGCTGCCTCAGTCCTATTTTATTTAACATATATACTGCTGATATAAGTAAATCACTCACATCTAATAATTTCTCTAGTTTACTTTACGCCGATGATATAGTTATTTTCTCTTCCCATAGTTCACTCCAGGTTACTGTATCGAATATAAATAATGCACTCCAGATCCTCTCCTCTGTACTCCAGCTTTCCTATTTTGAATCTGCCCCAGAAAAAAGCAAAGCTATAATATTTACCAGAAAACACATCCTACAACACCCTTCAATTTTGCTTGATGGAGTTAGCTTATCCTTCTCTGATTGTGTTACTTACCTCGGACTCAAACTAGATCAGAAACTCCGCTGGATGCCTCACTTTAAATACCTCATCTCTTCCATATCACGCTGGTCTAATCTTCTACGTTCTATTGCAGGTACCTGGTGGGGCTCCCACCCCTCCTCACTCTTACTTATTTTTAAGGCTCTTATTCGGTCTAAAGTTGACTATGGTTCCTTTTTATACGCCTCGGCTTCCACTGTTCATCGCAAAAAAATCAATTCTCTACTCGCTGCTTGTTTACGCACAATTATAGGTGCAGTTTACTCTACCCCTAATATGAGTTTAGAAGTAGAATGTGTATGCCCTCCAATTGAAATTCGATCTCGTTACTTAGCCTATAAATTCCTTTTAAAACAGATATCCAGTCCTGCCAAGTTAATATTTCATTGTTTTCATTCACTAAGCTCACTTTGGCGATATGTACCCAAAACTCTTCCTCTACTTGCCTCAATTTCTACTACCTTGACTCCCTACCTTAATTCTATAATTACCTCAATCAATCGCCTACCTATATATGACATTCCATTTCATGCACTTACTCATTTTCCAAAAATTCACTTTAACCATCTATTTCTTTCTTATAGCAAGCCTCAATTACAATCTCTCCCAATTAATCCTGTCAATTATCTTTTTGATGAACTCATTTCCTCTCGTTTTGCTAACTACTGCCTCATTTTCACTGACGGCTCAGTTTATACTAATTCCGCCGGTTTTTCCTTTTTTATTCCTAGTCTAAACATTAATTTCTCAGATAATCTCCCCTCAAAAGCTTGTTCATTTACCACCGAATCTTATGCGATATCCTCGGCTCTCGAATTCGTCAAATCACTCAATATAATAAATGTTCTGATTGTCTCCGATTCACTGTCAGTTTTATCATCTCTTTCCTCAGTTTGCCCCGTGATGTCGTCGGTAAATTTTAATGTGATATTAATATATAATTATTTTGCATCAAGATTTTATATATTTATATAAAAAGATACACTATAGAATTTTTTTGTGTGCTAATTAGCACAATCTAAAAGTTTCATATGTAACATTTTGACTATCGCCGATCTTTATACAAATTGTTTAAAAGAACTAAGTAAATTTGTATTATCTCAATTATTTAGAATTAATAATTTGAGTAAATAACGATAAAGCAATAGATCAATACCCTCTTTAGTAATTTTACTAATCACACATTACAAAGTCTTGAGGGTCGGATTACTATCTTGTACCTGAAAAGAGTGTAAAAACCTAATGTGCATCTGACTATATAAATAGACACTTCGACTGGGTATTTGTGGGTCGGATTTCCTCCTCGTTGCCACAGTGTCCTATTAAAGTTGCTTACCAATTAATTATTTTTTATTCCTCGACAAAGAGAACTTTAATTATTTGTTATATATCTACTTGTCTTTGTATTCTAAACTCTCGAACTCTACATCATCGATAGAACCTCGTCGCCTTTAACTCTTATTTTAAATTACTAAAAAAATAATTTGGAAAAATCTGATTTTACTGTTTAATTTTAATTAAAGTTATAAAACTGTAAGGTTTCAGCCTAATCAGAGGGTCTACTATTTACCCACTGCCCAGGGGTTAAATAGAAAAAATGTGCACGCACGAGTCAACTCGACGCTTCGGTATTATAGCTGAGAAAAAATCCCGTCGTCACGGCATCTGTAGTGATCGGTGGTTATGGCGCCGGGTGGTGGTTGTGGTGCCAACTTTAAACAAGTTCATTAGGGGGAAATACAAGAAATTAATACAGGTGCACAGTGTACGGTCAGCTGATGACAATCGGACCGGTTGACTGGTGGAGGTTATCACATACATAACTATCAATACTTTACACCTAATGCACACGCCACTAACTGATAAGATTTAAAACAAAAAAACTAGTATAAATTCTGCAACATTACAAAACAAATAAGTAAGTGCTTTTTAAAATTAAAAAAATATATTTCTTTTTGTTGTAGAAAGTTCAAAGTTTAAAATTCAGAACTTATTTAGCTTAAAAATTGTTTATGTTGAAAGAGCAGTCTACAGATGTTTACAAATCTTATAATATCATAATATATATATATATCTTTTTAATTAATAAACTGTTTTAATATTTAATTTTTTTGTAAATTTGTATTATTAGTTCAAATATTAATTCTCATAATTATCTTATAAAAAAAAATTATGAATACAATTTTTTCAATGACAAAAGTTATGTGAATTAGCTGATTAATTTATATTTTTGACTGATAACTACAATTTTTATTTATTATTGTCCAATTATATAAATAAACATATTACATTATATTGATTTTGTGTACTATGTACTATTGATTTAATCCTTAAATCACCTTTAAAGAAAATAAATTATAAAAATTACTCATAAAGTAAATAATCAACTAGATATTTAGGAGTATAATATTTCTGAACTTTCACATCAAAATCCTTATCATCATCTTTATACATCTCATCATTTTCATCACTTGGACTATGACTATGTTTTTTTATATCACTTGTATTAATACCAGGAAAAAAAGGTGAACGAGATATGTCTTCATGATTTCCTATTAGTTCTAAAAACAAAACTACAAATTACAATTTTCGTATAAAAAAATATAAATATATTATATTATAAACAAATATTTTTATTATTATATATTAATGGAAATAATAATAATGGAGTAAGATACAGGATGAAGTGTAAGTGGAGAAAAGCGTCTTGACGCCAATGGGAATAAAAGGTAAGTTCTATATGAGCGTAGAAACACCAGATATGACTTTTGTTTCAGAGTGTTAAGTGAAAGACGTATCAATCTAAATGATTTAAAAATCAAACAAAAATTACATTTTATTTTCACCTCAAAAAAAAAAAAACTCAGCACAGGGGGTCACGGCACAGTGGTGATGTGACATAGTTGGATCAAGTATAATAATATCTGACAGTAATTAAAATCACTATCATAAAAAACGCTTCGATGCAAATCTTTAGATAGTGTTTAATTTAAAAAAATTTGTGGATTATTCCAAAAGCTACATAATAGTATGTCAAATGAAAAAGAGATTATTAAAAATATTATTTCTCATAAAAAATTGTATTGATCCATATATTTTTCAAAAAGTTATAGCACTTTAAAGTAAAAAATGTAAATTATAAAATCGAGAATTTTCACACAAAAATAGCATTTGGTAGCCGTTTACACCATGAAGACAAGTCCAGAGGTCAATTTTTTTCAAATTAAAGTACATTAAATTAGCTTTAATTTAAGATATATATAAAAGTGTCAGACCTTCCGGAACATTTTCAAAAGTTAAGTTGAAAAAGTTAATTTTTTGTGAAAAAGTTGTAATTTTAAAACCCCCCCCCTGTGTACAGATAAAGGGTCAAATTTACAAAAAAATATACCAAATGATAGGTAAAGACATTAAGCATCTATAAAAAAAAAAAATTATATTGATATGTTCATTTTTGAAAAAGTTACGGCAGTTTTTAGTAAAAAAAATTGAAAAAATTTCGAAAATTAGCGATTTTTAAATTTGTAATTTTTTTGGAGGTTTCCCCCATTTACGGGGAACGAGGGAAATTTTTTCAATTTGTGAGGCTAATGTCTTCGACTAGATACAATTTGTGATCTTTGGACTTATCGTTGAAAGAAATCGGTCCAGTAAAAACTTAAAAAAATGGTTACAGACCAAAAAAAAAAAATAAAAAAAAAAAACACATAATATAAAACTAATACCTTCTCGGCTTTGCATCAAAGCTAAAATTAGGAATATAAAGCAAAAAAAGTCTTTACGTCGGGAGGGATTCAAACTACGTACCTCAAGCGTGTAATTGTGTATTATATTTGAAGCAGCAATTGTATATTACACAAATATTTCAAAAATGACAATCTAAGCTAGTTAAAAATTCAAAATCGATTTTATGAACTTCGAGGAAGCAAAATAATCAAAATAAGTTTAAATTTATATTAAATGTAAGTTAGATTCATGTAAATTTGATAAAAATTAGTGATCTCATTACTATGGTAAACCTATGTAAGGTGTTTTATGATAAACAATAAGTAAAATATGAATACAAAAATAACATATTTTTAGCTTCGACAGGTATTTGCACATAAAAGATACTGGACGTATCTTAAAAGTTCTATATAGAAGTCTGGACAATTTTTTTTTAAATTTATAGCACGAAACATAAAGTTTAATTTAACATATGTTTAAAGGACGCAGTATTTCCGGATCATTTTCAAAAGTACTTTTAAGTATCAAAATATTAACATTTTATACAGTGATTTTTATATAAAAATTACATTTTTTGTTAAATTTGTTGGCCGTGTCCCCATAGAAAAAAAAGTGTCGGGACAATTTTTTTTTTATGTAATTTTATTTAACATTATTTTAACATACCTTTGAAGCTCGGAGAATTTTCGTAACTTCAGATATCAAAAAGTTTATATGAAATTAATAAAAAATATCGAAGTTTTAAATATAAAATAAAAATGTTTGATTATTTCATTTTTCAAAATGTTCAGGCAGTTTTAACAAATCAAAGTTTAGAGATTCTCTAAATGTACCGATTTTAAAAATTGTAATTTTTTAGGGGAATTTCCCTCATTTACAAAGAACAAGGAAAATTATTTCAATTTTTAAGGGCAATATCTTCAATAATATACGATTTATAATCTTTTGACGTATCATTGAAAGATATCGGTCCGGTGTAAGCTAACAAAAGTGGCGACAGCAAAAAAAAAAAAAGCATCATAGTAAAAGTAATACCTTCTTAACTTCGTATCAAAGCTAATGCATCACTAATAATTTTCAATTTTTTTATTTAAATATTAAATGAAATGATCTAATAAGTAATATTTTATTAATTTACAATCTTTATGCTATTAATTCATTATAAAATAACAACAAAAATTGTAATTTTTTTCAGACAATTAAACTTAGTTTAACTAGGTATCAACCTAGTTAAACTTAAGAAACTGAAGATTGCATAAAACATAACAAAATCCTATTTTCACACCAAATTTTACTATTAAAAATTTTCAATGCACAATTTATTATTTTATAAATATTATAAGTAAAAAAAAATCATTAAAAATATTCACTCAAAAATTATATCTAATGTCCAACTATATTTTTATGGATATAAAAATATAGTTAAATAATTATTTGATGTATAAATATCATAATAGTTATTATTATGATAATCATGGATATCAAAATAGCAATGAAGTGTAGTCAAAATCAAAACGATTACATTTTATATAATTACAATAACTTACTGTAAGGAATATTTCGTTTTATAATTTTATTAAATTCTCGCCAATCTAAAAATGAATTAATAATAAATTTATTTGCTATTTCAAAACAATATCGATATTTTTTTAATTTTGATACGTATAATGTAACTTTATTTAATTCCTCAGTAGCTATATTATGTATACTACTAATATTGAACACTGTGACATTTATATTTTCACCAAAGTTATTATTTGAAAAAAATCTTTTCAAATATGAACAATACATTTTTGATATATTTTGCGTTTCATTATTTGTAACCAAATCATTACGTTCTTTGAATGATGAAATAACTTCATATGTCTTAATAAACATACAGCTCAAGCTTTTTTTTAAAATTTTATCATACAAGTCTAAATCCATAAATGATTTCATAGCTTTAATAATTTGTTGACCCAGTTCAATGATTTTATCTTTCATAACAGTTTTTAATTCGCTAACTTGAAATTTAAAAATTGAAACAAAATTTTGAACTAAAAAAAAATAAAAACGTATGATCAACATAATTGGTCGAACTGTTGCTAAGTATAACAAATTTTTGAATACTTGTATATTTTGAAAGTCAAAGTCAAATTTGTTAAAACGAAACATATCGGACAATTTTATTTGTTGATTATTATTATTCTTTAGTTTTAACGGAGCATATCGAACAATGTCTAAAACATCATTTTCTTGGTCGTCACTGTTATATCTAACATATTGTTNATTTTCTTGGTCGTCACTGTTCTATCTAACATATTGTTTTGCTTGGCAATCTGATATCAGGTCTAAATCCGAAAAATGGGGACGATTTTCCATAAGATCATAAAACAAAACATTTTTAGGATTGAAATTATTATATGATTTTTTTTCAAAAGTTAACGCTAAATGTTTTACTATGTCACAATAATTGTTTAATATTATATTATCATCCATTACAAATATATCTCTTAGAGTCAAATATTCTTTCATATTTCTAATTATTTTACTATTAAGTTTCTCGAGTTCATTAAGCAAAACTGCCGAGCTGTATTTTATTGGTTCATTAAAATTAGTTAGGGAAGTGAAATCATTTTGAACTGATACTTTTAAACACTTATCATTTATAAAATATTCCAATCTTTCTACTATTGAACGATGTAGAATTTTATAACCCTTAAGTAAATTTTGTGAGTTTTTAGACTTATTGAATTTACCATGTTCGTCTTTACCAATCATATTTATAGATCCCGATACGTTGTTCAAATATAAATTTACTGTCATTATATCCGTTGCGATATACTTTTCGTCCATTTCTCGTAATGAATCTAACATAATCATAACAATTTCGCCATGAGATTTTACTGCTGTTCCATAATTTCTTAATTCAAGTTCAGAAATGTTATTTTCAAAGTTAAATAAATATTTTTCACTGTATCTGAAATATTTAAACAAATGTTTAGAGAAATTGCAATGTAATTCCAAATGGTTTAAGGAAATTGCACATTTTGTGTAAAGAAAAAGAGTTATGTATAGTCTAAGCTTCATCATTTTAACGTATTATTCACTACTGATAAATTTTTAAAATATAAAAAAGAGGAACACTTGTTCTATAATTATTCTAAACAAAGAGTAAATATATTGTTATAATTTATTACGTTTAAGGAATATTTTTATACATATTTTTTCAGACCTAAATAACAATGTTCATAGTCATTTATGAAATTATTTTCATTATCAATGGATTGATGGAATTAAACAATTGTATAAGGTAATGTTTACATAATTTAATATTTAGTTCTTTTATGCTATTATCCTTGAGTACCTTTATAATCGAAGTGACTCGGCTGACTCGGATACATTATTTTGATATACATTTATATCTGTATTTATTAAACAATTTTATTACGTAGTCTTTTAATATGTTTCAAGGTTTTTCTAATTTGTTATAAAATAAACAATAGTATATATA